TCATCACTCTAGTACTCAATTTCCCTCCCAGACATCTACTCGCGAATTATCACTATTTACGATCAAGTGATCAAGTTATACAAAAGCGCCGCAAAATACATGGGAGTGAATTTTTGACCAATCAAATAATTCCATAGTAAATAGCAAAATCGGCTATTTACAATTGTGCTTTAACATTGTTTCAGACATTTGATGCTTTCTTCACCTTCCAGTGCCTTTTCAGCTTCTTCTTGCTCCATTTCCACTTCATCCTCTAACTCTTCTATCTTTGTTTCTAATTCTTTTTTTTTTTCTTGATAAGTAAAACTAAAAGCCTCTTCATAATTTCGTGCTTCATTACTGAAACTTCTCAGAGTGAATTCATTGCTGAAAACAACTCTGCCAATTTCATTTCTGGATAACTTACTCAACCCTTGTAAATCTTTCTAAGGTTCTTAAAGCAGTATCAATATATTCTGAGCTTTCAATAATACATTTCAAGTTCTTAGTTTAAAGTTCTCTCTTTATCTGCTAATTGTTTGAGTTCTGTTATTATTATGTTTTTTTTTTTTGTTTTTTTTTATTCTGTTTATACTGTATACTTATTTTAAAAATTAAGAGTGGAAAAATCTAGCAAATTTATTGAAAAATTAGACAGAGAATTAATGCCAGTGAAGAGCATTGAAATAATGGAAAGATTTTAGCCTAAATATTTTAATCATTTATCATTGCCAGTATTGGACAAGTAATATCTTTGACAACTCCTACTCTAGGTCGAGCTGCTTCAAATAAAAAATGCTGATGCTTTTGCAAACCATTTAACTTTTTAAAGAAAATCCTAACACAGAATTAAAACCTAAGTACTGAAAACCTTTTCCGTTGTCATAATAATAACGCTGGAATTTGTTTAATCCAGCTGTACTTGATCTTTTCACAACTTCAACAATATGATCCATTCAATCTACCGTTGTTTTGTGGTATAATTTCTTAATCGATTCAAAACTACCATCACATTTGAATTTAGTATGTCCAGGCACCATAAAATTTAACTCGATACTTTTATAATAACCGCAAATTACTAGATATAGATAAAATCAAATGGTAGCACTATTTTTATTCTGACCTTCTGCATTATCACAAGTAATCTTTAGACCTTTTTTGCCTTTGTTCAATCTCTTAATTTCATCGAATACCATGCTCAGTGTCTTCATCAAGAACGTAATTAATTTGTTCGCGTACTGCTTCATCTTGCATACCAAATAAATGCACTTTACGCGGACTGAGATAATAAATTTTACTTACCTGTTGATTGGAATGTGGACATGAACATTTTGTGCTCAATTATAACTGTAGTGAGCAGTCGTGTCAATGCTACAATAATCCGCTTTACCTCTCGTCATAAAATGCTCATCTACTAATTTTCTTTGTTCTTCTGCTAATTTCGTATTTTGTTGTAATAATTTCTCTCCAACTTAGCCTTCCCAGATATTCTTTGTATTTTTTCAGCAAGTCTCTTGCTTTTTCTTCCTTGCGAGCATTGTACTGTATATGTAAGCCGTTCCGAAAACGTTGACAAATCCGTTCTTGGACTCATAATTTGATTATAAGGCGTTAATTGATGCCATAACTTGCGGAATGCATCATATTTTAACACTTTAAACGTGTTATAGTTTTCAAAACCTGCAATAAAATCCCGATAGTCCGATTTGTAACTAGTTTCAGCTGGTAAAAGTGTAAGCGATTGAGTAATTCGGTTAACATTTCTACCAGGACTTGGTAATCAGCATAATTTTCGAGAAAAATTTTCACCGTTGTAGCAACGTTTTTATCGATAGTTATTTTGGGTTTCCATCGTGGCATTCGTTTTACGTTACCATGAACGCGCGGTATTATACCATTCGTCGCTAGATGATTTCGAACTGATTCCTAACATATTGAGATACGTTTCCTGACAAAGTGGCGTATTTATATTGCGATCTCAGTAATAAAACGTTTACTTATTAGTACGCGCTTTCTTTTTAAGGCGTCGGCTGAAAGTTATTTCCACAATCACAGCCTTTTTCCAAAAATGAATTGCTAGTTCATATTCAGTAGAACCACCATTTTTACTATTTTCCATATACATCCCACGAAATTTCACCATAAACCTGTAAGATTCTTGAAGTTTTTCTTTATTAGCATATAATAACCCTATATTAATAATGCGCTAATCTCTAAATTATTCTGTTGAAGTTCCATTGATATGAGAGAACATCAGCTCTACTACAGTTACGCCCCAATTGCGTTCATTGTAACGTTTTCCCACGCAAGAGCTGCAATGCGTATATAAGTGATATCATGATCAATAGCATCGTATGCAGCAAGACGACAATTTCCACTTTTTTTGCGAGTCGCAACAGAATGTTCATAAGAAATAGGTGCGTACATCACGCAAATCAGTTGTCCCGTGAAAAACAGGATTCCGAGATCAAACCTCATTTGCGAGATCCTCTGGCTGAATAAGTATTATAGAGAATGAAGGATACGCCCCAAAGCATATTAAGACATCTCAAATCATCGACAAATGTAATCGATGAGCCGTCAAACTGCCGATATTAAACCTCGTTGAACTTAAGGCAGATCATAAAAGGTAAAGATTGAAGCAAGCATGTAATTAATATGATCTCGTCAATGACAACACGTTGTGAGTCTCATACAGAAGATTAGGTTTAAGGCTTTAAAATAACACTTTTAACTTGCATGTATGATAATATGTAATGAAAATGTATTATAGATTTGCTTGATTTCATAATTGCTATCTTTACATTTGCCGAGTTTTCTTGTCGGATCAAATTTCTATTTTCCCTGAACATTAAGATTTATAATTACCTTAAATTTTTCAGAAGTTATGTTTATCTGACATGACTTCCAAAGACATTAGTGTCATCTTTTGTTTATTTCTTTATTTAATAAATATTTAATAAGCTATTCTCATCCTTCATTCTTAATATTATACTTCAATATGGTGGCTTCTGGGCAAAATAATTATCGTTTTTGCACTCATCATGACTCTCATCAGACAGCCTGCTTTGTCCAAAATCATTCACATTATTTGTAAGAGCTGTCTGAGACTGCTGAAGGAGCATTTGATGAAGCGGATGACGGTGAAACTGGGATTGAGAAAGTTTTGTGAGAGAGAATACGGAAGTAGGGATTTGGGTATTTGTCTCTTGATAAGGTAGCGTTGATAGTTGTGTACTTTCTAATTGTTCTCGTCGTGTTTCCAAAGTAGTTCCGAACAGTGATGTCATCCCATGGTCTTCGCACCGCAGTGATTGCGTTTGAGGCAATGACATAATCTCTTGATCGTATGCATTACTGGTTCCACTCAACTCATATTTACCACCAACATACCTGCTATGACTTTCGTCCGCTCCACCAAAAGAGACATCACCAGTGACCATGTCATCCTTTACCATAAATCCACTAACTTGCAAACTAGCCTCGGATTTTGTTTTGCAATTTGCAGATATCGACGGGACAGTCGATGATGGAGAGACGGTTGATGACTTGTTGTATTTCCGTTTTTTACAAGAACAACTATGCATCTGTTCTGAGCGAGGTAGAGTACTACTTGCTCTGTCGTTAGACAGTTGACCAGTAGTATCTTCGATTCCAATCATGTCCTCGCCAATTCTTCTGTATTTCCCTCTGGCGGAAACATTTTGATTTCTTCTTCCCTCGCTTTTTACTTTCATATTGATCATCTTGAATTCTGCATGTGCGGCTGAATTTCCCGTAATATGCTTCCACTTGTCAACCGGTGAATACACAGTTGAAGCCATTTCTCCGCAATATCTCAGCTCTCCATACAGCCTTAAAGACCACGGTAATACCGTTTTCTCATATTTTCTCTGACTGATCGCTCTTACTGCTCGGTACGATTCTGATAAGCTCCCCGAGTATATCTCTATTTTATTTTTGGTGATATTCTTGCATGCGTCACGTTGGCAAAGTGATGCGTATCGGGGTGCCATTGCTTCAATTAACCGTTTCTCATCGATGAATGGCAGATGAATTTTGCCGGATATGCTATGTGCAGACGGATAGAACTCTTTTATCGGAGATAAAGGAGAAGTAAGTAGATCTCTAAACGGTTCAGGCAGAAGATACGAGCATTGTGGGGGAACAATACACATTAGTTGTTCGAATGGACGCATTGGATTGTCTGGAGGAAAGTCTTGAGAGACGAGGAGAGGGGAGACGTAGTTCAGAATGTCTGGTATGGAAGGTGAATAATAATGTGGATAGTAGAAGCGCCATGATGGACATACCCCGGTATAGTATTGCATTGACCAGCAGAGTATACGAATAAAATCATTTGCTCTTGATGTAGCCTCTAGCGGATCAACGGATGTCGGCGCTGCAGAACCATGTCTCCTGAAAAGTCCCATGTTTCCGATGTGAGAGATTAGTTTAAGCAGTCTATTTATTTCTATACGACCATTAGCAGCTGTTATGTAACCCCCGATGTCAGTAAATTTAGTTTTATACGTTGATGTTAAAATATCTACACTCATCCCCAATCCGCGCAATTTAGGTATAAAGTCATTGCCTAGCAGCATTGAGATGCAAACAAAGTCATTAAGTATTCTTTCGTCGTCTGTTTGTAACAAATTCTGGGATGGTTTCATTTCCTTTAATATTGCTTTCCGTAATCTATCTACGTGAACATATACAAGTGCTCTGTCTCTCAGTATGCGGATATTTGCTTTGTGAGTTCCTAGAGCATACATAATAAAGTCTGCATCGCCGCCACATACCACATGATTAGTATCTTGATTATATCCTGGTTGAGATAATTGAAATTGAAGAAACTCGAATATTTTATGTTCTCCTTCTCCAGGTACATTTGAGTCATTTAATATTATTTGTAAATTACGTCTACGGCCGTTGAGACGTTGGTAAACGTAAAACCTAACAGCCTCATTGGCTGCGTGCATGAATTCGGTGCCAGCGGAGATATTTACAGAGTCTATTGGTACAAAGAATGATGATGATGTCGAAGAAGGGAAAGATGTAGAGAACGAGGCGATATTCGAGGGAGAGGATGGGATATTGTTGCCTTTTATGTCTGTTGTATGCGTAGCGTGAAATAGTGTGGAAGGTGGTTGGAAAGTGAGGCTGTTTGAGCTAATAGTTGATGTATTGACAAGTTTGCCATTTGTTATACTACTCGAGGTATTACTCATGTTCTTTATTGAATTCTCATCTTGTGATTTGACCGCATTGAATCTTCTATGCCGCTGCTCATTCATCTTGGCTCGCGGTGCCACTCCATCCATTGCAATATATACCAATGCAGTAGGTTTACAAGTATCAATTGCGTTGTCCATTTGTCTGAATACTCTTGATAACATGATTTCGGGCGTTGTCGTCCCCTTTCGCATCTTGGACAACGCTGCGTGGAACAATCCATTTAGATCTAAATAGAGGATATCTGTACGGTGTTGCGTGTTCAGTTGGATATTTTCCACTGTTTGTGGATAAGCAGCTGCTAGCCAGCGAAAGAAACCAGGTATACCCATAGCGAATTTAAGCCGTTTGTTGTTTTTTTGATTCTCAACGACATTGTTTGTGGACAAAGAAGATTTCAGGGGCACAAATATACGCGTAGCATGGGGGGCTGTTTACACACCTGAATTAAGAAATATTGTACGCTTTGTTAAATAGATAAAGTAATATTTCGCTTTTCTCATCGCAAGGTGAAATTTCTTGACGTTATATATAATAAACATTATAAACATTCCATCCTCAACGCTAAAAGAATAATATCTCACTAATAATATTTGACAAACTCATATAAACTCACCAGCGCATCTAAAGACATCTCCCGAGGAGATCTTCATAACCTTTGACACCAGGAGGTATAAGTAGTATTAGAGCATCACTTTGCATGGCATTACACGATTCTGTATGTCGTATAATTAGCATTTACAAGACGAGACAGCTGTGAAGAATCCACTTCGACATGATGTAGCATTAATCTCTATCGATAGGCTTTTCATAATACTCTCAGCATATTTACTCTTTCAACAAACATGTTGTAAGCACCTGAAATTATTGCAATCCCAGGTGACTACATATGTGCGTAGAAAAAAAAGTCGACCGTATAAAAGACTATGCTTTGCCATTCATAAACGCAAGGAATGTTGTATCTCGTTTCGGAACTGGCTCAGTTCTGGGCTGAGACGGTCCCAACCTGAATTTTGGACTGTCATATACTTTCGGTTGATTTAGTTTAATAATATCGCTTAAACAAGCTTTCGTTAATTATTACAATATATCAGGTAAGTTTCGAATGGTTCTAAATATACAGTGTTTGTTAAATAAATCCGCACATAACAAAACATAGTTACTACATAATTATAATTAGAAGAAGTTATTGTAACTTTAAAACTGCAACAATATGCAGCATGATAAATTATTGATTGTATATTTTATAACCTCAAACTCTATTAGTCCATTCTTTAACATGCGGAGACAGTCAGAATTTTACCTATGTAGTTTGTTCCATGATAGGTGTCGACATGATGATCTGGATTGGGCTTCCATAATAATAAAATCAAGAGTTTTATTATTGGGGATATCTTTGAATAAACAATGACCAGAGTCTTTAATCACTTATTGATCTATGTGAATTTGGTTCTCTTTCAAACATGTATGTGTTTCTGTTTCAGGGGGTTTTTTATGTAAACACTTATGGTTGTCAACCTTTGTTGTCAATCAAGTTTGAATACACAGTGCAAGACCATTATAATTCATGGCTGCCAATAGTAATAGTTATAGTCCAGCCGCCATAGAAAATTTATGACATTTGGTATGATGTCGAATTGATATTACTATTACAGCAATCAAAGTAATGATGAGCTTTATACTTTATTCAATAGGCTATGAACAGAGGTTTTATCGCCATAATCGAGAGACCAACTTATCGAGTATATATATAACCATTATCCGAACTGATTGTGTTCGAGAATTACTATATCAATAGGGATATAACAACCATTCAAATTATAGAAATATAATGCGTTAACGAGTAGCGTTACCTGTCCTGTCAATAAAAAATCAAAAGGCATAAGAATAAAATCTTTTGGTTTCATTTCACAACTCAAAAAGTTCAAATCATGTTTACACGCATCGTGTTGAATGTATAATTTAAAGCGAAAACTCATTAATGCTCGTCTTGTAAAGGTAAAACTGGAGAGTGTACATGCATATTTCGTATAGCTTGTGATTTATAAAACGAACAATACGGTGATAATATACAGGTATCTATATGTGCGTTTGATATTGTGTTGTCGCTGTCTATCAAGCGTCCATTTAAACTTGAATATCATTCTTCGATGACAATACTTGATATCGTCCTTTTTTATCATTGCTCTTTTGTATTTTGTAGTAATTATATGATGCGATTCCTGAGATACTAATTACCAAACTGTAATGGAGACACACGGAAGGTAAACATTAATGATTGAGGATTTGTTATTGTTGACACCATAAATAGAGTAATTTATAGTTAGTAGAGATTACTTATTACATTCATTGCGGATTTCAAAATATGCCATAATACATACCCGATTATGTTAACTGGTGTAAGAATGTCATGGTTGATGAGTACGGATAACGTAATGACAAGCACTTCTTTGCTTATTCCAGCAACAGATAATGTCACCGTGCTTGTGTTCTTAATTAATGCAAACTCGGCTACATTCATAAAAAATGCTAAAAGTCCTCCAACTAGCATCAGTCCAAATGTCGACATTGCAGAGGAGAAATTTTGAAAGTGTTCAGAAGTAGCAAACTTGTTGGTCGGATTTTCGAAGAATAAAGAGAGCGTAATCATTGAAACAAACATCACTGGAGATACGTAGTAAAGTGTTGCGATTGGATTACTCATCCCTGCTTCTCTCTGAAGAAGCATCTGCATCAGTGACCATCGCAACCCACTAAAAATTGCCGCTCCTAATATTAACAGAAACCCAACGAGGTCGAATTTAGCTTCTCCAGCAACCGTCAATCCAACACCAAGGCTTATTACTGATATAATAATGATAAGTGAGAGTCTCGGCTGCTCTAACCCAAATACGAATGCAAAAAACAAAACCCATATTGGAGTGGATGATTTCACCTAAATTAAGGATAAAACGTTTAAATAATTTGAAAATTATAGTCATCTCAACGTTGGTACGATTCTACAACATAAATATATCCTCCATAATATTACCATCGTATAAAAACTTAGTGTTATGTACACAAGCGCCCCATTTGACATACAGATCTCTAATGCAGCTGTAATAGCCGCCGGGACCTAAAATAAGGCGAATCAGTTAAATAATGCTCAAATCGCCTAAATCAAATTATTATCAAGGTTCAAGCATGGCACACGTCTCTCACACTCACACACACACACCACACACACCACACACACACACACTCTCTCTCTCTTTCTACTCTCTCTCGGCACTCACCACTCTAGACCAATAAGTCTGTGAATCCACACCCTTTGCCTCAGGCCTCACGTAAAGCGTGGGACAACTTCCTCTCATTAAGAAACTCGTAATTATGAAATGCATTCCGGAATGGATGGCGCTCACCAATGATGGAAGATTCAAATTAAATGCATCTTTACCCATCAAATATTTATTGTAAAATGATAAAACCGTAGAGAAAAAGTACCACGCAGATATATACATCGCAATCCTCAACGTAGAGTTCCATGTAAAACGGGTTGCCTGCTTTGAATCTTGTTCTATTATGAGATTTTGGACCACATTTAATTCTCCTTGTGAAGATATAGCTTGAGATAGAGCTATGGTGAGATTTTTATTGGACTGTGAACCGCGCAAAGATTTGGACTGAGGAAAAGGTGTACGAGAGGATTTTGCAGTTGGTGAATTTGGTAAGCTGTCTCGTTGAACGATGGTGTTTGATGAGGAACGTTCGTCTGTTGGAAAAGACTCTAGTAGTACCTCCTCCCCAGTTTCCATGTCAGAATTTTTATAGATATGATAGTGGTGTTATCTGGTTTGGGACACTCCAAAACTTATTCAAGAGAAACGTATTATTGAGATCAGCGTACAAGGCAAGGCTTCGAGACAGTGCAAATGGAAGATTACTGTGCCCACTGAAACTAGTTTGGGTGACACTAATACTAATCGAGGGACTAACGCTAAACAAAATTTTAATATTAACTCTTATTATTAATGATTGACTAGTGCAAACCCGTCGCAGCGAACCCCAACGGTTTATTTTTGTTGTCAATTAATTAAGAGTTGTTGGAAATCGTATGGCTGAAGCTACTACACACAACAGCCATACATTTCATCTTGCAAGTTGAAGCATTCTCCAGATTGATGTTATTTGACAGTATAAAATATGTCTATCTATATCTATTTAAAAAATTCTTTCTAGCACTCCCTAAATGCCACGTGGCGGACATTACCAGTCGTAAGCAATTCGTAAGGAAATCGCGCTCTTCAATTCGGGTCTACCAGAGGCACCTTGTAAGAACACAGTGTGTTTTTTAAAGGAAATCGGAAGTATAGACTACCCCGGTTTTGGCCTATTGAAGCATACCTTTCCGTTTCCTTGTTATTATGATTAATATTAATACTCATGGTATGCATTAAACCCGTTTTTGTACCAGCGCATTATCATAATATGACACAATGCAGCGTATACACGTGACCTTACAGCAGATTCGAATTTAATATTAAGCAGTTTAATATTAATGTCATCAATGGGTCGACAGTTGATATCAGCATTGGTTCTATGCCGGACTCATCTTCAACACGAGTAGTTTCGCCCTAATTTTACAAAGACGTTATCATCATTACGAAGTTTAGTTAAATATTATTTATTTTGTATTCTCATTCTTTAATATTAAGCCACCCGCTATGCACTTAAAGAAAATCAGTCGTTAGTGATGGGATCTTCCCATCAGTATTAATTTGGACAAAGCGGATGTAAAAGTAGTGTCGATGCCCAGTGCTATTATTATAAAGGGGTAATGTCGTTGTACAAACATTCTTAATTCAACATCTCAAACAATTATAAACAAGGAATATGATTATAAATTTTCTAACACCTAGCGTATAGCACGCGAACTCCAGTAGCACTTTTCGGTTTCCATGTATGTAATTCTTCGAGGAAAGTTCTTTCTCAACAACCAAGAATAATTATACTTTTAGATATTAAAGTTAGGTTTCCATAAATGTTGAAGCATTTTTAGTATACCAATCACCGTGGGAATTTGGAAATCCCGTGATGAGCGAGAGTTGAAGATTGATCTCTGATAAGTTTTCTTCAAAGAGAATTCTTCGATGTCCTCGCCAAATCGCACCTCATCATCTTCGGATCATCACCTATCAACAAAGTCTGCGACAAGCGCCATAACATCAGCTATATCAACGACAACATCAGCATTCACATCCACTCTATCTTCTCTAACTTCGACTGTTCTTCCACTCACTTCTACGTCTCAATCTTCTTCTTCGTCTCCTGCTCATTCTCAACGCAATACAACATCGTCGATCAATAAATCGGTGCAAGATGAAGCGGCAGGGAACAAAGATGAGGGAAAAGAAAACGCAAGAATGATCCATAGAGATGTTAACAAAATTACTGATGAGATGTTTGGAAGTGTGGCTGAATACTTGAGGGCTGAGATGTTAGGTAAGTTAACGGGAAGGTTGAACTAATGCATAAATGAAAAACGTGCTGTAAATGGAATGCGACAGTCATTATTGTATTATGGTCTGTAGGAGATCTAACAATAAATGCTGCTTATGTTATATCGATTGTATGGCTACAACGGAAGACTATAAACTATTAGAGACCATGAATAACGTTACTCGAGACAGATATAGAGAAATGTCAGGAATGGCACAGACATTGATGGTGGAAATGTCAAAACTGCAACAAATATGCAAGTGTCAAAAGATTTTGTCTATCGCTATTTTTATCCCGTCTTCAATAGGTCTAACATTCTTCTAACCGAACTACAAGACGTAGATTTTGATCCTTATATCCAACAGATAGACGAGATATGCGAGCAGGTGAAGTATTTGGAGAAAGTGACTGCTGAGTTGGATGAATATTCTAAACATCTGGGTAAGAGTAATTAATGGGTGCGGATGTGTTGATGTACTTATACTTGTTTATTGACCGCTTGATTACTCTCAACAGAGTTGCGGTTGAAGAAGATATCAAAGTGAAAGATGGACGCATGATACGAAAGTTGAATCTCCCATCAAATATTTAATATGTATATGTAGTCTATATATGTGGTAATGGATAAGTATTGAAACGAGTATTGATTAATGAGTGGAGATGTCTATGTTGATTTATAGTAATTAACACTATTAATGAACGACCGTTGTACGGTACATTTAGCATCTAGATAAGCACACATTTACTAATCTAGCGAATGTAATATATAATTGTTCATTCCATGATAACTGCAAATCGAAAGCATGTACTACAGTACTATGAATGGCATAAGACTATTAATAATATCAAAGTCACAAGCAACTTCAAATTGCTAACGTCATGTGCGCCTAAATAAAGACCTCGAAACCTCAAATTGCTAACGCCACATGGTCAACAAACCCTCTGCATATCATTAATCATAAGCACTAGATTGGTTCAAAGAGACTTGTCCCTTTTATAATAAGAGCAGTTTGGAAAGTTTTCGTACATGCTTAAATCACGACGTCTGCATACATTCCAGATATGCCTTAATTCGATTAACTGACAATTAACAATTTCATTTTTTTGATCCAAGAAATCTAACGGGAGAACTTGAAATAGATAAAGTGAAAGAAAGTTTTTGTTTCAAAGAAGTCTGCATCAAATCATTTGTCGATAAACTGTTGAGCTAGTTTATCACCGTCTTCCGTTGGGACAACAGACAAGCTTGCTGGAATCAGGAATGTTATAATGATGGTTAACACACTAATAAGAAAAAACCAGAGTTCAGCTACAATTACTTCTAACAATTACACCATAAGGAGCAGACTGCTACAACATCAGACTAAGTGCATGTCACGCGTAATGTGTCGCGCATACTACGTCCATAATAATTTACTCCAAAATAAAATTGCCTCTTATGCAGAATTCATTCCATGTTTTGTGACAGTCTCTGCATCCCTATAACAAACCAATTTTCAAGACAGCTACAAGATTCATTTTCTAGCTATCCGTATCCGCTAACATACTTTTCGCTTGTAACGTGGCTTTTGGGATATGACAAAAAAGAGTATTTCGATACAAACGTCTCGGAAGATTCTACTCTCGTTATCGTGCAAATTGACTGTAATATTTCTGCAATCGAATCCTCCGAATTTATTAGCTTTTTGCACGAAAACGATAGCATATAAAAACCATCAATCTCTTCATACAATCCATAGTTTGTTTATTACGTTTGCTCAGTTTTGCATTACCAAGTGTCTCCAATTCTGGAAAATACTGTATATCCTTTGAGGCTTCCTAATGCATATTACTGATTGACTCCTCTTTTTAAGGGATTCTCTATCAAATTCATGTAACAAGTGTTGCATGACCTCATCCTTGACAACCCAGTTTTTCCGACATATTAACTAGACTATAGACTATATAGTGTGAAGGGTTGGATTCAAGTGAATTCAAAGAAATATTCGTATTTTGCAGTGCCAGTCATTGCAATAGGACTGTGTTGTCTAAAAGCGGAACAAATAATTTGCGAATTGTACGATTTACGACTGCTTAGTATTGTTATCAGCAATTATATCTGTCATGTTTTGCTGACTAAATGAGAAGGACGATATCACAAAGCAGTCTAGAATTGGCACGTCAAACAACGCTTGATGAATTTGAATTTGTAAATATTAAATTACGTTATAATAAAATATAACAGAACTTCTTTATATAACAATGTATCATATTAATATATTTTACTAATTGATCGACAAAAATTACCAATACTTTTTTGTCCAGTGGGTGTACAATCTGAAGACACTAGGCCCGATGTGGGCAAACACCTTTATTATATACGCGGGCAGCGAAAATTACGCGACTCCGGCGCAGTAAAAGCTTCGAACGCTTCTTCTATAGCATCGATACATCCTAACTCAACTTAGAAATTCTCAATGCGGAATAACTTTTTACTCGTTATATTTTATCAACCCCAATATTACTGAAAGGATCATAAATCTTTCTACTCTCTTCTCGATTGCACTCTTTGAGAGATCGTTGGGGAGTTGTTTGCTACTTCGGCATTTAATTTTCTCCGAGTCCTACGCTCTCTATACCTACTTTTAATAGGCGGTGAACCTATCCTCAAGTTTCTTAACAAACTGCGATACATCCGGCTTCTTTTAAGCACAGAAATTAATGAACTGTTATGTCGCACGGGTCAGTTGTATGACGTAAATGACGACAATGTGATTTTTTAATCAATTTTACGCCGGATAGTTTTGTGTTTGATTAACACTAAGGATGACTGAAACAGCAAATCAGTTACTAAGTCGCGTCGTCCCTGTTTGCACATGGCAGACTCCAGGTTCAGCTGCTTCAACTGGACCAGCTTATTCCCTCTTTCCATATGTCGTGAGAAAATGGCGTTACTTCAACCAAAGTGTCAACAATTCGATCCGTCATGCTCCGGGAGGACAATTCCAAGTGTTCCAACTAATACAGGAGATCTAGAAGTAGAAGACGATGCAAGAATTCGTTTTTATTATGGCCAGTTGAAACACTACTAGGAGAAGCAGGATTCTATGCAAAAAATACTGGAATTTTGGGTGTTCCCGATTTCACTTTATGCATTAATAATCCCACAACGGCCAAGATGCCTGTGGAGGTTAAAACTCGTCACAATTTGAAGTTAGGTAATCATAACTTCTGGAAGTTTATCAAGATTTGAAGTTTAGAAAAAAGATCTTATCTCAGACATTTGGCGAAATGGCCTGCAATGGTCTTCATTATGGGATTTTGGCAAACTATTCTGATATATATTTTCTCAAACGGCTAGAAACAGAATCAACTACCCTATATGTTTCCCGTGTTATTCATTTTAATAGTACCAATCCGACTTTACGCGAGCGTTTACTACATTAGTCGCCTAGCTATTAGTAATACCGCCGGTGATAGATTGGATCGTGTAATTTTTCATCCTATGACGATGATGACGATAAAGATGATGATTACGAGGACTATCTTGATGATGACCCTGACGACGATTATATTCCTCCTGGTTCTTCTAGTTCAAAGAAGAGGAAGAGTTCTTCGATTCAGACCGGTAGCAAGAAGAGAGTGATTGCGTCATCTTCCAAAGGAATAACTACTATATAGGTGGCGGAACCTTTACAAAGGGATTTTCTGGCTATTATGATGGTCAATCCATGGCATGGAAGACTTGTGATGCATACAAGGAGCAAGAAGCGACGAAAATGCTAAAGCATGAGGCTCATATTTACTCTATTTTGAAAGAATGTCAAGGTACAAAAAATTTTATTCAGAATATTATTAACTTGCCTATCGCAATATTGATAATAGGTCGTGCTGTTCCACGTTTGTTCTATAAAGGTTACATTTATGATGGATATCTCTTTGCGTAATATTGCAGATAATTGAGGGCGCCCATCACGTTGATCCGGAAAGACTTACTAAAGAGGAAAAAAAATTAATAGTCAATCAACTCAAGTCAATACATAATTGTGGCGTCCTACACAATGATATCTCAAAGCAAAATATTTTATATGAACCAAAGAGTCGCCATTACTTTTTTATTGGGTTTGGCTTGAGTGAGATCGTGGAGAATGAGTTGCCAAAATTGCACAAGGAAGAAAGAAGATTAAAAAGATTTTTACAACTTTAAGTATCTGGATGCATAGTAATTTGTATCCTTTTATTTTTTCTATATTTCGATACATTTATATTTTTATTATATCTTGTAATCGCAAAGTAAAAAATAAACTAGTTCGCTATGGTTAGAGCACCGATGTACCTTTATTTTCGCTTGACGATTATTCCTATAAAGTCTAGGTACACGATTTTGTTGATAAATACCAGACTTGGAGAGGAGTTTTCTGGGATCAACCTATACTAATGGCCCTTGTTTTATTTACATTACGAAAGAATAAAAAAAAAACCAGTTTTTAAAATTTTCTAATGAGAAAACTAATGTTCATGTCAATAAAAACGAAAACAAGAGGCGTATAGTTTATGAAACTGTGTTTTGAAGCCATAGCTTCTTTCCTTCAAAACTCAGTTTGAGTACAGTATTAATATGGAATGGATCGGTAAAAACCTTTTACAGTGGGGAAATTTAATAGTGGGCTTCCCTTTTATTTTAGCAGACTTAAATAAGATCTTGTTGGTAGTTCACCTAACCGTTTCTTTAATGCTTCATTTTTCAGACAGCGATTGCTGATTAAAGTTTTCTATCATCACCCCTTTTCAAAAAGCACGCCATGTACCGCATCCTGACAAGGATATCCGACTCCATAATCGGAAAGCCTTTTCAAATGAATCATGAGCTAGAAACTCGTTACTGTCATTAGAGAGTTCTCTGTTTGCTTATATAGTTCAGCAGCTGAAGCGGGTAGAGGGACTTCAGAGGTAATAGTTGAAGACATCTTTTTTCTTTCGTTCGTTTGAATAATTACGATATCACATGAGAGCCGTCTGTATTGGCACACGTTAACGTTAACGATTCTCTCCAAAATGTCCCAAAGTCAATCGTCCAACAACACATATAAAAAGTGGTTAGCTAAGGGTATCCAGGCAGGCTTTATCAAAAGATGATATTATAGATCGTACGCCTCTCGGTGGTGGTGGATATGGAAAATTAGTCACAATGAAAACTTTGTTTCAAAATCGATACGGATGTGAAGACGAATTATGTAAGCGGTTTGTCAAAGAGGTTATCATTAATAATCGATCGTTGTAACTGTTGTATAGCGTTTAAAGGTTATATAAACTGAATCCATAATCTAATAGTTGAAAACTCATAAACAAGCGGATTATTCGGTTCTTAAGAATATGCCAAGGTGCATCAGGTAATATTGACGTTATGTTTCCCTGTACATAATATAAAGATTATAACTTATCCAATTCTATAAACTTATAACCTGAACAGATTTATCTGGCCCCTATCGCATGGTGTTTGAATATGCAGATGGCGGCACTTTGTTTGAACACCTGCAGGAATATTTCCCTAAGCTGACATGGGAGAAGTACAAGCTGGCTTTGGGGATTAGTGATGGGTTGCTACATTTACATAAACTCGAAATTATTCATAAGGGGTTGGTACAGTTTTTTAATAGAGGGGATGTATAGTGAAATACATAATGAAATCATATAATAATAATAACTTCATTTTACTGTTATATTCTCCTCCAAGAAGGCATTATCTTTTAATAGCAATGGTAGTAATAATACATTTATAATATTAATTAATGAAAAACAAAAAAGGCACGAGAAAGAAAAAAAGCGAAAGAGAGAAAAAAAGTTGGAAGTATTATGGCTTTACTGCAATATAATACTGATATGTAATAATAAAATGGCTTGTAATTAAATTCAACTTGCACTTAAAAACGTATCGAATTAGCAGTCTCTTGTTTGTTAAACTGCTAAGCACGATAGACACTCTCAGATTTTACGCAGTTGCTGTAACCCAGTTGTTCCCATATGGCAAATCGCATTTCCTCGATGGAAATAGTGTGCTCATAAATTGAGTTTACCAATCAATATATAAGCACTTTACTTGGAGGTGATATACTTTTTAAGCAGGGACAAACCGTTCAGAAAGAGCCATTATTAATTATCTATTATCGTTGTCTTGATTAGTTCGGCTCGGGCCTCTATTGGTCTTGATAGCCTGGAAGTCATGAAAGTTGGCCGCATCAGAATACTGACGTCACCATTCGATACACAGCAAACCAGACCTGACGTCATGTTTTTTAGTTTTAGCAACTTTTAATAATTGTAGCACAGTTGACATACTTTACGTGTGTTATCTCAAATTGTATAAAAAAAAAAGAGGTTTTGGCGCGTGTTCCTCACGGGAGTGATTCCACTTTGAACTTTTCGTATCAATATTGAAAAAATGTATTATTATGAAAGCGGCACATGAACTATCGCGAGGAACTTTTATTCACAAGAAAGCGGTACATGAACACACGTGCTGGTAACAATTTTTTTTAGAACTTAAGCCAGTTGTGAATAAAATCATATAAAGGCGGTAATTAAGTTCTATGTTTGACAAATTCAGCGACAGCAATATGCAAGTTTGAATACATAAAAGTTGCAATAATATGCAAATTTGAAATAATGTGAGCACGGAAAGCTTTCTTTGCTCGTAATTGAAATTTCGCCGTCGTCATTTAAGCTTTGCAATAATATTCCTTGATTTCGTATGTTGCTATTTACAGAAATGTGAATGATTAAAAATAGAAAGATTTCGCTCCTTGATAGCGCGCACAATTTGAATTTACCAAAGCCTTCTGGTACGGTAATCTCGTGCAAGCAAGCCCAACTTATACTATTTTTTATAATTTGCGCACAGAATTTTAATTTGTTACATGAGAATTTAATGGGTTTTATAGTTAGTCGAATAATGTGTTTATTGTATGGTAGACATGGCTACTAGACGGGGGGAATATGAATAATTTAAGCGCAATTACTGATTATCGCATGAATTTCATACAAGGTTAGTAGTATGCGTGCAAATATAAATGCACACATGGCGCTAACCAAATTCTCATCAAATAAATTAGATGGAAATTCTAACGTAAAGGGTAGTTAATTACGGACAATTAAATATGGCGTTGTCTCGAAAATACACTCCGAAAATTCGTACCATTAATATGTTACCGGCATTTATTAGGCTACATCCACATGTTTTGACCCCGTAAGTAATAAATAGTTGTCAGTATTCTCGAGAGCAAGTTTTCTCATATTTATTTACAACAAACATTATCTTTTGACATAAATATCTCCAAGATTGAATCCATCAAGTAAGGTAATAAACATGCTTCTTGAATAAATGTGTGGCAAACCAAAGAGTTCAGGGGATTCATATTGAGTAATCTTGCTTATTTATACAGAATGTTTATGCAACCTGGTATGCGGTAATTTATTGTTAGTGGTAGACTCGATCAATAGTGCGTCATTTTCTTTGTAAATTTGATGTTCTTGTTTCTTAATACACTCTTACAATTGTTTCAAACTCCACGTAACATGGTATACATATAATGATCAATATGTACAAGTTAGTACATTAAGTTAAATGTATGTAACTCCAAACAATGTTTGCAAATTCACTAAGAATTGCCAGCGATTGGTTTGATATCAGAATTCTAAACTTTCTTAATATCATCTGTTTGGTGCAACGTAACTCGTGCCAATACTGAAACAATGTTAGCTTTGCACCAACAAGAGTTTGGAATCCTTAAATTCTGAGCAAAGTTACGTATGCAGCCTCCATGTGAATTGTATCCCCGTGCTTAAAGACGCTATTAAGATTAATTAGATTAGGTTGCATTCACTTAATTAACGATGACTTTTGTTTGTACATCTGGCGATTATATTGGAAGTCGCACAGGTTTAAATTTGAGATACGTTTACGATGGTCGATCTATTCGGGCCAACATCTATCATTCCGAAATAAAATATATATGGTTTATACCAAAACTTACAAGTAGAGTATTAGTATTTCCGCTCCTATTGATGGAAACGATTCGGTCACCCTACTGCCTTAGCAAAGATATTTTACTCATTTAACAACAGCAGTGTCATCAATTATGTAGATCGGCAATGCTGAGTCATTTAATTTGCAATTAATTGATCATGTATTTTAAATGATTTTGTAACAAATACCTTTTCAGAAAGCCGTGGAACGATAGTCGCCATATAGTACTACATATACAGTGATCAGTGCTCTCAATACAAGTAAGTTGAAAACCACATAGCAACGACAAACTCTATTTTACGGATCAATTTTCTGTGACAAAGGCGTTGGGCAGATAGATCTCTTCTAAAACATTGAATATATATATGATAATACTTAAATAAATTATCTAATTGCAGTATTGTATTGAAAAAGTTTTCTCCAGATGTAACATAGACAACACGTGTCTAAAAGAATAAGTTTTTACGCAAACACGATGTACGAAACCATGAAAAATTAGTCCTATTATTATTATACTCGGAGATAAATCTCCGTTGAGGTAAACTTTGGCGGTTGATGAATGATTGAAACGTTCAAAGCGGTTTTCTTTTTTCCACTGACGTTTTCTTCCATTGAATGATGTGGGTTGTACAACAATGTGTAAATTTACCTGCCAATAATATTTATAAGATTTATCCCGTGAATATTCCCAGTCAATGATAGTTCAGGGACTATTTAATATCCCTGCCGATCCCAACCCGAATATGGTATACTTCATATCCAAGCTTGACAAATATGGAGATACTACTTTGACAATAGAATTTTCAATCGCTTTGAAAAAAGACATTGCTGTCCTGTTTAACACTTGACGATAAACCTTGTATGGAGAGAACAAAGAAATTCCCGACTTGTTCCCAATTATAGAAGCCAAAAAAGCGCGTATAAACCCTCGAAACTCGGCAGTAATACACGCTTGTGACCACATCCTTGTTGGCTAATAATAACAATAACTTATTATCTGGAGTAACGCATGCAGTGCTACATTACAATTATCTTGGTCCTATTTTTGACAAGTTTTAATATAAAGTTTTCAGGGCGTGTGGGACGTCTTTCATCTAAATATAAGTTCAACTACAAGCTGCGGGTTTGCAATATTGTATATAAATAGAAACGCTCTCCGCATTGGAACATAATATACCTGCATATACATACATATATATAGACGGGTTAATCTACCAACCACCCTCACGGTCTGGTTAATCCCTCGTGTCTGCACATCTCACTAAGTGAAGGCAACACACTCAATAACCATTCCTTTTTACTTACCTCTATCCATCCACCACAATGGGGCGTAAGCTGCTTTCATGGTTTATATTTGCTTCGGTTTTCACAGTAGCCTGTGTTAATGCACAATGGACGGTCGACGGATTGTGAGTATACGATCAGATGAATGAAGATGTAAAGCGTGATAAAAACAATCGAAAGAGCATGGTTACTAACTCCTTCTCCTAATACAGGACGGGAGTCACTGCTATGCACGCAATGATGTTAACTCCGACGACAATAATCATCATCGACAAATGTAATAAATTTGAATATATGCCCTGTATATTTTCCTTAATTTCGTACTAACTATATCCCGGTTACTTTAAACTCTTAACAGCCGAGACCAATCCAGACGCAAAATTGCCTGATGGTTCACTAACCTGGGCCGCCGAATATAATCTCGCAACACACAAATTCCGACCGCTCAAGTTATCCACAAACACTTTCTGCTCGGCTGGAGCATTCTTTGGCAATGGTACATTCCTTTCGACCGGCGGTGGTGAACCAAACCCGGCTAATAACGCAGGCGATGGTTATCGTGGCATTCGTTACTTTCAACCATGTCAAGATGGCACTTGCGAGATCATCGAAGTCCCTAACTTGCTAAGCAGTAATCGATGGTATAATGCCATGCTTACTATGCCAACTGGAGACATTCTCAACTTCGGTGGTTCCGTCCAGTCAACTGGAGCTAACTCTGCAAACAAGAATAACCCGACTTTCGAGATACATAGTCCCACTGGAAATAATAAAGCATCCAACGTACAGTTCTTAGTCGATACGTAAGTGCATTATATGAAATGAATACGTTGATTTATCCGTTCAAACACCTTTTAAAATCGTTTCTACTTTATTTCCTGAACAGCCTTCCGTATAACCTTTTCCCATTTATCCATGTAATTCCCGACGGCATATGGCAAGGCTACTATATCGTTTTCGCAAATAAAGCGTCGGTAATATATGACATCACAAACAATGTACCAATTAAAGCACTTCCTGAGGCTCCTGGCGGTATTCGTTCATATCCGTGCACTGGTGCAGCGACCCTGCTTCCGCTTGATTACCAAAATAATTACAATCCTGAATTCCTTGTATGTGGAGGACAAAGTATGTTCAACCAGTTCACTAACCCTGCCGAGGATTCATGTGTTAGAATGGACCTTGGTTCTGCTGACCCAAAATGGGAAGCTGACAATTTTGGTGGCATACCTAGAGTCATGCCTGACGTCGTTCATCTCGCTGATGGTCATGTATTGTTCCTGAATGGAGCATCTCTTGGACAAGCTGGATATAACACAGGGAAGCTCTTGGCTGATAATCCTGCGTTCACACCACTTCTTTATGATATGTATCAGCCTTTGGGACAACGATGGACTAAGCTTACCCCAGCCACTATTCCAAGAATGTACCACTCAGTTGCCAGCTTGATTACTGATGGCACTGTCTGGGTAGCTGGAAGTAATCCTAATCCCAATTTCAAGACAGGTGGGCTATACCCGACAGAGTAAGTAATTCTTTAGTGTGCCGAGAGACAAGGAAATTTTTTGTTAGTTTACTATATCCTCGACGATCATGGTTATTTTCGACTGTTTCGTCAACCTTACAATCTATTTACTATACTAAATACATCTAATCTATCCATTAGATACCGTGCCGAAATATTCACTCCACCATATATATCGGCCAACACTCGTCCACAGATAACTTCCTTCAAGGGTCAGACGACTCTCAATACATCTCCCATAAAAGTGACTTACGGCGAGGCTGTTCCTATAATCTATACCCTTACCGGAACTCCCGGTACAATCACAGCCACCATAGTACATCCTGGTTTTCGCACTCACTCCCAAGCAATGTCGATGAGACTCGTTCATCTCCAAATAACCGACATTGCATCATCAGGACAAGATACTTATACTGCCAAAGTATATATGCCTCCGAATAATTTCATATTACCCCCCGGTCCGCATTACGTGTTCATTCTGAACAATGGTACCCCATGCACAAAGTCTGTATGGGTTCTGGTCGGATAAGCGAAGGAACATAGTAATAATGTAGTATTCATGTCACTTAATCACTTTTGTATTGCCATTGACAATCATAATGCACGTTCTCTGTATTCTACTCATATACATAGACATATAAACTGAATAAAGATTAATTATGATAATAATAAATTGATCTGAAACGTTACAACTTTTTACGGTATACAGTCAGCACAGTCAGTAACGCCATTGTTTACATTCCGTACGATGTTTAGATTCGGTGATACAGTGTTGAATTTAGATTAGTATTTATTAGGAAATTAGACAATCAAATAATAATGTACTGTGAAACTTATTAATATTAACACGTTCCCACATTCTGTATTAGTCATTCCCAAACACTTGGAGCTCCTTGTGCAAAAATACCCCCAAATTCAAGGAAATAAGGCATTGTATTGTACGCTGTATGTTGTGGTTAAGAAAACTCTTTGTATATATATAATGAATACTGTATACAGTTCAAGAAATGCATGCAGATTGTCATGCAGGAGAATCATTATTTGTACGTTAAACTTCCGCGGAGTTCAAACGGCAAGGTGCGTGTCTCAGCGTTACTATCTTGAGCCTTCTATTAAAAGAAAAAACTTTTCGTTTTTTCAATTCTCGGCAGGCCTCGATGACGTGTGAATAAACGCCTGGCGATGAACATATTACACAGTCAGTCTCGATAAGTCGGCCAACAGTCAAATGGCCGAAGGCCGAATATACATTTAATTAAATCGTTTATTAATACACTAATACTAATATAATTACATCGCAAAATAATCTTGTTATTGTAGACTAGCTTGTCTTAGAGAATCGACTTGTTTTCTTCTTATCTGACGTTGTACATCTTTCATTCCTGAACAACACAGAACTGCTTACACTCACATTATTTGATTGCTGTAAATAGTTCAGTAAATTTTGGATGCTTTCTAAAGCTATTTGAAAAACTAATGGACGTTTGTCTTGTTCTGATCTAATGACACGTCTATATCTAGTGCTTTAATCGTATCATTCTAATGCATGTCTATCGTATGATCCTAACGATATGTTTACTGATTTAATCGTATGATCTAATGACATGTCTAGTTCAGGTCTATCGTATGATTCTAAGGATATGTTTATTACTTTAATCGTATTACTTTAATCGTATGACTTTAATCGTATGACTTTAATCGTATGACTTTAATCGTATGATGTTTAGCTCTTTGGTTTGTATGATTCTAATGGCATGACATATTTATCGTATGATTATTATTATAGTGTCTATTGGACAATTCGTACGGGTGTGGTCCACCAATTAAATCGAAAAAACTGTATTAGTATACGTCTTACAAATTGTCACGTGAAACCGACTGCCGGAATTTTTAAATAGTGAAAAAAAGATCAGAAAAATTTTGGCCGACTTAAGCCAAAATTAACCGACTTATCGAGGGCCGACTTATCGAGGGCCGACTTATCGAGGGCCGACTTATCGAGGGCCGACTCCGACTTGTCGAGTCTGACTGCACCTTTCGTCAAATGGTTACCCCGCTCATATGAAAATGTTTTGGGCTGAGCATCTAAAAAAAATTCTGTGATGTGCAACTATTGCTGTAGTGCTCACACACAGCTAATAGTAACATATAGATTAAAAAGGGGTTGCCTTTGAAATAACCATATTAAGTGTTTCTATTCGTAGATACACATACATACTGGCCAAAAGTATTGGACACATAACGGTGATCGGATAACCCTTTTTTTTTTTTGTTTGAAAGCTAACAAATTTTAAAATGACAAAGACTCGAGAGTTAAGTGATTTTGAGCGTGGCATGGTTGTTGGTCTTCACAAGGGAAATCACTCTGCCACAGACATCGAAAAAATACTTAGAACGACTTGTATTAATGTAATAAAGTTTGAAAGAGATCTAATGCTCTGGCAGACCACCTCTTTTGAAGGCCATTGTTCGTACTACGGTTACCAATCGGGTGCCGCAGAGGAAATAACAGAAAAATTCAATGGCGGGCTGACTCAAAAATTAGTACAAAGACTGCGAGACATATTCTAGGCCGCATTGGTAGAAGAAAACCGCTGGTTTCAGAAAAGAATAGGGAAAAGCGGCTAAAGTGGGTAAGGAACGAAGACAGCGGAGTGAAGGATGGAATAACGTTATTCTTTGTATGAAAATGATGGCATAAGCAGACATCGTGTATGGCGTAAACCTCACGAACAGTATACATGTTTCCTACTGTGAAAAGTGGTAACAATGGCATTTGATTTGGGGTTGTTATTAGTTATTTTGACAAATAGTTTTATTGTGTAAAACCTTGGATCCGGCATATTTTCGCTAAACAGACGCTCAATGCTAATGGCCAGCCATCAGAATACGCGTTCCAAGTTGAAATTGCTGCCATTTTTAAACAACTACTTTCCAAGGCTTATCCAACATTGATGTATCATGTTCTCCCCGAGGCTAAAGAATATGATGAAGATGGCTTCCGGCGTAAGCGACTGGATGTCCTTGTTCGCGATAGTGGTTTATCGGCTTATGGTTATGAACTTCTTGTCGAAGGCGAACAAAGATGTTTTCAATAGGCATTGCGAGCGAACCTATAATTATGGTAGAGTTCCATGATGATGGTTTATTTTAGTGGAAGCGGGAAACTTGTGATGTATTTCGGACCCGGCTATGAGAACGTGACAGTGATTGTTGTCTATGATGTAATGCAAAGGAATGCAAGATTGATATATCAAGACGGAGAGGAATTGGTTCGCATCAAAGGCGTCGATTGGAAAGTGATGTTCACATCATAGAAGAACGTGAGTAGCATGATATATATATATATATATCAACAATGCGAATAATAATAGCAGGGCAATGCAAAATGGTCTAGCTATATGTACTCGTTGCATTATAGTTTACATTCATTTATCTACATGGCTGTAGTTATAATCATTCTCTGTGAATTGCTGAGGTGGGGGGACTAATTGACATATACTTAAAAGAAAAATTGTTTAGAAGGTCTGTATTTGCTGGCATAAATATCTTTATTAAGCAACTAACGCACGAACGCAAGAATTCACATGTTGAAGGGATAGATCTGTCATAAGTTAGCTCTTAGAAGTACATACATTGTAAATAAAGCAATAAAATATATATATGGGATTACCTGAATATGAAAAAGGCAATACATTTTTTGGAGATAGGTTGCGATTGTGGTTGCTCAAAAATAATTCCGAGAGTGTTTGCCGAATTACGTGAAGCGTTTCAAGCTCTCTCTAGATCTGAACAAGATATATTTTTAATGGCCCAACTAATATAGGAACTCTCACTTTAACAAAGATGGCTTATAACGAAGTATTGTTCTGGAACCAGTTCGCTCTTAACAAAATATATTTCAGATTAACGAAGATTTATATGTAAATGCTATATAACGATGAACGAAGAATTCAATAGATCATGCATAATAAAATCCATTCATAACGAAGTTCGTTATAGGAATTAACTAATCAGAATCATCCATCAACATCTACAATAAGGATCTAAGCTTTCAATTTATTTCTATTAAGACCGTAAAAGCATTTTGCTATATTGTTTCTTCTATTATACGCTTGCTCTTTATCATTATCACCCTTCAAATAATCCACATTTGAAACATATTGAAATAGCGAACTACCATTAGAAGAATCCATGACTACAGTCCGTGAATATATTGATTTGGAGGAAGGAACTTATAACGGAATAATATTGTTCATTTGGTCAAAAGTAGTTTTTTTTTTATTCAATTTGCTTCTTGTAATCAATACTAAAACTGCTCATTTCAATACATAAGCCATCGAGGACAAAGTTTATGAGGATCCAGGTGCCACAATTTCAGGCCTGAAATCATAATAGAGCGCAGTAACGGTGCAGCACACTCAATCGTATGCTGAGGTGAAACGAGTAATTCTTCCTTGCTCTCCCGAACTCTTACAATCCCTTCAGCCAGGAGAATTTCAATTCATCACACTTATCAAAGAAAAATTTTTTTGATTTGCTGGTCATGAATTGTATCAGATTTGTAGCGCGAACCAAAATTCTCGTACTTATTATCAAACAGTTATAAAAATCAGTACCGATTATTAAAAAAATAAAAGAGTAACTATTTTCTTATGCTTTGATCTTTCGTTTCTTTCTTGGTTCATCATACGGTTCGTTTAATGGTTTTTATTTTTCGTTCTTGATAAATTTCATAAGTGATTTTTCTTGATCTAGATATTCCTGGAGAGTTTGGGTATCATTGATTTTAAAAACATATGGAGCAATTTTTTCTCCCTGAGCTTTCTTCAAAATACTTCTAATAGTGCTATAATTCTTTGGTTCCATGGCAGATTTAATGTAAATTAGTTTCATATTTATATTTTTATATAGAGATACTCCTATATTAATCACGTTATGGTTTATTTTCATCACATTCTGGTATGATAAAGTGAAAATTAAAATTAACAAGTCCATAAGTTATGAATGAGCACCATTATTTTGCACATCAGTCACACTGGTCAATTTTACAGCCACATCATCTTCAGCCTCTCATTTATGTCACATAATAAATTGTACTTTGTCTGGTTTTGTTGCAGCATGCCCCATATTAAAAATTCCCGCCAGCGACTTAGAGAAATTGGTAAATAGCATGCCACGTAGAGTCAGTGCTGTGATTAAAAATAAAGGGAATTCCACAGAATATTGATCTAAAATTCAAAGCTAGACGAGTTTATTGGTATAAAGTTTGTTATGTGTTGTTAATACTGTTGTCACATAATTAGAATTCTAAGTAAAATTTTCAATGATGATCACCATGTGACCAATACTTTTGGCCAATATGTATAACAATGTATAGATATGTGTTATATTGCTATTCTTCTCCACTCGTCATCCGAGTAATGCATTCCATTCGATATTAACGGTCGGCTTCCTTACTAACATCAGTAAACCACCACCATCACTCTTATCATCATTACTACTATTGCTTCTATTATTCATTGTTATCACCCAGGATAATATTCGCCCGTCAATAATCACGCGCACTCCTCATCCAAAATCATTATGCATCCTTTCTTCTTTCTCTTCTGCTTCCTCGCGCTCGCACATTAGCTTCTCCGACAAAGGCCGTTCAAATTTGAATTTTCATCTCAAATGAGATGCATAGATAACTCTTCATCGCTTGATGGCGGTGAATCAGGACGTGCGAGTTGCATACAGGAACGTGCATATGGAAACTTGTATGCAAGAGAGAAAGAAAAGGCAATGCGGGTAGGAGGTGATGGAATATGAGGAAGAGGATCCGATGGTGGTGGGAATTGAGGTGGAGGGAGGTTTTGATGTAATTGAAGTGTTTGTAGTGAATTGGAGAATTGTAATAGACGGCGATGTTGACTACGTGGTTGGTGGTATGATTTACGTGGAGAAGAATGTATTGGTAGAGGATGTGCTGGAGGAGAATCCAAAAGAATGGTGAGAGGTGGGGGGGTTGAAACGATAGTTGACGTGCATACGCTATCTTTGGACATGGTATCTCTGGATATTTTCTTTCGAAAGTTATCTCGTCCATTACGAAAAAAATTGCAGATATTACAACTTCCCAACCGCATCCGCAATGCTTCTCGCGTTGTTCCAAATATAATAAACAGTCCAAACGTGACGACCGTGGACGTGTAAGCAGAGATGCCTTGTTCGATCTTAGAGGGTGGACGATAGAGGGGAGTTAGACGGTAGCTGAACTTTACAATTGGTTGTACTATTTGAAAAAGAGTCATTGAGTTCATTAGTATATAAAGTATATAAATTATTTGGTTCATGCATTAACGAAAAGAGAAAAGTGATTGAGATTACGACTTTACTTGATGTCATGAGAAAGAGAAGCACACAAAACATTATCACTCGGATACAAAGACCGACTGGAATTGCCATGCTTTTGAAGGAATTTTCCCGTTCAAACTTTTGTCGATAAGTAATCAGATTCCAAGCTGCATGGACTATTTGATAAAAGACATGTGTATGTGAAGTTGGAACTGGATTTTTACGAATAGCTATCAAGACCAATGCTAAAATGAAGGCCTTACCACCAAAGCATATTCCTATAACCATGCACAGCAAGTATGGAATGTACCGGGTCAAGAGTGTAACCAATCCGTATCTGACATAACAATGATAGGTATGGGACGACACATTGTAGGCATATTGTCTATAGTGAACAGCAAACGCCACGAGCGTCAATAATGATGGAATGCAACATGCAAAAATTATGTAAATCTGTGATATCAATCAGATGATTAAATTAGCATGCGTCCAGATCTGTCAAATAATTCATCAACGACTTTTATCACCTTGAACAATTTTAACTGCACATCGCTAGCTCCTTTCACAATAAGCAACCACAACATTGTCATCAAACACACTGCCCACATTCCTGCACTCAGATGGACAAGCTGTAACGTGTATGCTTGAGCAATGCACCCCGGCGAGTTTGCTGGTTCAATTGCCATTAAATTGTCGCCATAAGTGATTGCCATGGGCACACTAGCAATACATTCTATCGCTGTCGCTATGCAAAGACAGGCAAGTGTGTTATGTTTGCCTTTGTAGAGGAATTGAATTATTAGATAGATCAGTATCAAAAAATTTATAGATTGGAAAGTAAGGAAAGTTGATATTGTTGAGGACATTTTAGAGAAAGTGGTGGTCGGGTTTGGGAGATAGAATTTTACAATAGTGGAATCAGGAAATGTTAGATCGGAAATATAAGGTGGTTGTAAATTTAAATGTAAATGAGAGATGGGTAAAAGAGTCTAATGATTGAATAATGTATTATGAGAAAGGATGTTTATATTTGACAAATTTATTGATGGTTGAAATCTATTATGGTTGAATTGACTTGGGGAATGAATGGAGAGCGCGCACATCGAACGTTTCTAGAGTATAGTAAACATGCATTCAGAATAATATCATACAAACTATTCACAAAGTTCTTATCACTATAATTTCAAGGACAAGATGGGGGAAGGGGGGTGTGTGTGTGTGTCCGTGCGTGCGTGCGTGTCAGTCAATAACACAAATATAAGACATTTTCCTGCATCTCTAGCATAGGGATAACAATAAACCAACCTCACAAGAATCATTATCAAAAAGCCTCATCTCAGTTCAGGTATATACTTCTGAATTCAACAAAAGTATCCCAGCCACAAATAATATATGGTGTATGTGATCCAATAAGATAAATCAGTTAAATAAAGAGTTGTCGCATGATGTATTAGGCGCTTATTCTACCTTCCGGCGGGAAAAAATGAGAAAGCGCGCGGGCCAATTCGAAGTTAACGAATAACAAACAAAAGACTAGCACCCTACCTACAGTTTCCATCCGATCTCGGAACAAAGACAAGTGTTGTGAACTGCGCTTAACATGTGGGCATGGCGTGAGAAGTTGTAATAACTACTGATATGGATGACAAAAGATGATGTACAAGCTGAGGTAGTATGAGAATGGAAGACAGGACATGCAACCAATACTTTCCATTAATGGAATGTTGGCTGCAGAACAAGAATTGCATAATGTATGTAACAGGGGAAATTTTCAATTTTTGATAACTGTATGTCAGCAAAGTATTTGAGAAAATCAAACAAGGGGGCAACTTATAGCGACCCTCTTGGATAAAGTCAGATTCTGAATAGCACAATCTGGATAATGCCATTCAGGATCAAAGGATGGATTGGTGCAGGATGTGTTATCACAAAACGATATCGATATATATTTATAAACCACATAAAAACTAGAAATCATACAAAAAGGGCGGACCACTGACGTCATTATTATGCTTGTGTGTTGAAAGTAGACTAACGCCACAAGGAAGCTACTACCGGCCTCGGGCAAAAACTGCACTCCCGTGAACACTTGGCGGCTGGGGAAGAAGTTCGAAGGTCAATAAAGTGTACAAGTAGTTTAACTATTGATAGGAGAGGCCATGCTCCGCTCGAAAATAGCTAAATTCCAAATGTTGATTATCAATCGCTCTCCCGTGATAGTTGGCACGACAATATTAATATTATTTGATCGTTGAGAAGTGTGTAATGAGGCTATAAGACTAATTTTATTATCATATGTAGAGTAAAATTAATGAAAGACATGAATTTGTTCCTTGATCCAACGTCCGAGGGAACGTACATAATTAATGTTTAGGTCCTATCCTTAGCGACGTCTACTTAAAACTCGCTCTATCTCAATGCAAGCGCCAAAGACTGAATTGTTGTACCTCCCTGTTTCAGTTCTGGACTGGGACAGCCGAGTTCTGAACTGTGAGACAAATGAGTTCTGGACTGAGTGACTGGGCTCACAGGTCCCAAACTCGGACACAACAGGAAGAATGATGATGCACATACAGAATACGTCGAGGATGCTCTTCAGCACTATGAACGAAAAGCTTTCATATTAAACACTGACGACTATCACAACATACATACAAGCACTTCCTAGGCAACGCATATGGCAGCAATATTAACGATGTTTTGTTTGAGTTTGGGACCTGTCTCAGTTCGGAACCCAGTCACTCAGTCCAGAACTCATTTGTCCAGTCCAGAACCCAGACACTCGGTCCAGAACTCGGTTGTCCCAGTCCAGAGTCCCCAACTGAGTTATAACGATCAATTAATGGAAAAACGAAGTGATCGACATATAAAAAACTCCATTCTTATCAATTTTGTCAAACTAAATGTGTTATATGTTTTGGAATATCTTCAGGAAGAGATTGAACAGAACGTCGACGCGGTGATAATGAGTATGACGAAGGAGTCAGTTGAAATTGAACCTATCGATGAAACTAATGAGAACACAGCTGAAGATGACTCGAGTATATATTGGTGGCGGAGACTTTATTGGAACGTGCAAAAAATTCATTTCTAGGCCTGTAAGCTATTACAAATAAGTTGTTGGTTTTTTTCAATACATAGTCACTCTCGATAAGTCGGACACTCTCGAAGTCGGATTTGGCTTAACTCGGACAAATCTTTTTTTCAATATTTAAAAAAATTCGATAATTCGGACACATATAAAATTGCAAGTCGGACAAAGGTTATAACAAATGACTCTCGATAAGTCGGACCACGTGATTATTGGGCAATAATCTTTACCGTTTTTTGAATACAATACAATTAATTATCCAATGATTTTTCTAAGAATAATTTTATCGTAGACAATATTGATATTGCTGCTTTTTTAGAAAAAAATTATCATGGTTATCATAAACAACGCACAATACGCTACGAGTATACCAAATACGTAGTTATTACATCATTAATTCAGAAGAGCAGCGCGCTTGCTTGGAATAAATATATAACTTATAAAACGTTGACTGCCGAACCTTTGAATTTATTATTTTTTGGAAACCTATTTACATTTGTAAAATGAACATGGAAAGAACGTCTAGACTTGGAAATAAAAAAAGAAAATTAATTGCACTTACCAATATTAAAAAAAGAAGAAGAAGAGAATTATGTAAATATAAAGCAAACAATCCAACTAAAACGTATGAGGGGGTTGGTAAAAAATTCGGTGTTGGCAAATCAACGGGGGAGATATTATTAGATAAAAAGAGAAGTGGGGCTTGCAGTTACCGAAGCTCAACGGATGCCAATAAAAAACGTAATCGTGGTTGAGAATGGCCACAATTGGAAGAAACATTAGCAATTTGGGTAAATCTTGCGAGCGAGGCTAATCATACAGTAACTGGTACAATTTTGAGTCAAAAAGCAATACAATTCGCTCAAAAGTTAAATATTCCTGATTTCAAATTCTCGCAAGAAAGTATCGATTTTCTTTCGTATTATTGTTAAACTAAGGGCTGGATGGCAAACTTCAAAAAACAAAACAATATTAAAGAATATTATAAATTGGGAAAAGCAGCGAGTGCGCCGATTAATGAATTACCTGGATTCGGAACTGAGCTCCAATCTGTAATTTCGCAGTATGATTTAGAAGACGTGTATAATGCAGACGAGACTGGTCTCTACTGGAAGTTAAACCCCCATAAATCGCTTGCCAGCGGACCTATTAGTGGACTAAAAAAACCAAAAGACAGAACCACTATAATGCTTACATGGAACTCATAAACTACCCCCGCTATTTATTTATAAATAAAAAATCCACGCTGTATTTACCATATTGATAAACGAACACTTCCTGCGCAATATTACTGGAACAATGCATCATGGATGCAACGCTCTATTTTTAAAGCATGGATCAAACAATTTAACAGAGAAATGTGGAAAAGGCGAAGAAACGTCTGATTATTAGTAGACAATGCTTCATCACATCAATTGGCTGAAAGTGAAATAGAAGAATTAAGTTGCATTTTCTTCCACCAAACACAACTTCTCACCTTCAGTCGATTGATTAGGGCATATTAAGTTCATTCAAAGTAATTATACACGTATACAGCCCCCTCCAATAAATGACCGGGTAACACGAAGTTTTAATAGTAAAACATATGAAAAGTCTTTCTTTTCAAAAAACTCGCCTGTTCTTGTGTACCATGCGAAGTGCAATAATTTTTGTATGGTTCTGAAGCTAATTGATTATGCTTTTCGAAAATAATAACAATAAAATTTTATAAGTTAGTGTTATAAGTTAATAGCTCGACAAAGTGTGAGTATACGTGCTATACATATATAATCATATATTTTCATATCGTGATTTAAAGACTTTTCATATGTTTTACTATTAAAATTTTGTGTTACTCGGTCATTTATTGGACATTACTTTCTCATTATCATGTTTTAGTAAAAAGTACTTACATTTGGCTCATTATAAAAAATTATTATGCGAGGATAGGATTCGAGCATTTGACGAACACCAAGAACTCAATATGGAAATTCCCAAACCAAATATTTTGAACGCAATCACTGGACTGCACAAGCGTAGATGATAAGTACATCGTTGTAGGGGAGTACCTGGCCCTCTCTTATAGTACGGTTGGCAGTTAAGGACAGAGATTTTGCCTGACGAGGAAACGCATGAAGGAGAAAGTAAATTAGAAAATGAATTAGAAATCGAAGAAAATGAAGTCCGATCACTCATGCATCAAATGAACGTTGACGATATTGTAGCGAGCGATTACATTAACATTGATACTAGGATAGAAGTAGCTGATATGATTGATGAAAGTGATATAATTGCTGCAGTGCAGAAAGCACCAGAGGAAGAAGACAGGGAAGAAGAATCCATAACAATATCAAATATAGCTGCTTGGATAGCATTCAAAATATATTCAACCATTTATAAATGTATCAAATTGGAAGAAAGTAAAATGCTTCTCTAAAGCAGCTGACGTTGGATGTTTTTTGTAAAAAATGAATTCGCATATATTAATATTCACCTATTGCTTATATTTATCAAACATTATGAAATTCGATAAGTCGGATATAATCTCCGCCCTGATGAGTTTGACTTATTGAGAGTGACTATGTAATAATAAACATAGAGCCAGCATTACTTGGTTGACTTGGAATTAAATGTAAACATTTG